GAGCTCGGCGGCGAAGGCAGCTGGCTCCACCGGGGTCATCTCCTTGGGAAGCCGGTGGGTCCTCTACAAGGAGCGGGGACAGAAGGCACAAGGCAATGTTTAGCGGGCGGCGCGGGGCGCGGGCGCTTCGCCGCCGCGGCATCGCCGGCCCCGCTACGCTTGTTGTGTCTCCATGTTTGGATGAAAAGACGACCGCAACTAGGCATGGGCTGCTCTGGATTTTTATGAGCTAGTGCTGTGGCCTCATGGAGTGACATCCTCCCCACCAGCGTTTGCCTTCGGCAGGAGCAGTTGGTCGCACTCTGAGGAACCCCGCTTGTTCTCTCTGTAGTACAACCAGCCCATCAGTAGCTACTCTGAAGTAGAAAATCTTCAAAGACTGTTGTCAAACATCAAAAAAAAAAACAAAACAAAACAAAAAAACCAACAAAAAACCTCTGAGGTGGGAGGGAGAGAGACTTTAACTAAAGGAATAAAGTGAGTATAAACAGAAAGGAGTTGGAAATTAAAAAAAATAAGATGGGGGAGAAAAAGGGAAAGGAGGGAGAAAAAAAAAAAAAAAAAAAAAAAAAAAAGAAGTCAAACGGTTGCAGATCAGAGAAGTGCTGGTAATTTATTTCCTGGCTACACACTGGGCACCTTTGAGGTAGTGTTGTCTCAACAGTGTCCTAGATCTCTCCCCCCCCCCTCCATCTCTTTGTACAGAAAATGAAGAAAGCTGCTGCAGGCTAGCGGTGCTACACTGCTGAGCTTGGCTGCCTCAAGCAGATCTATCAAGGGAAAAAGGGAACATCTCCAAATCAAGTGCAGAATATAAAAAGGCAAAACGCGAATTTCTGCCAAAAGAAGCAAACATGGCAGGAAAAGGGGAGGAAAAGAGAAAAAAAAAAAAAAAAAAAAGGAAAAAGAAACCACCCACTTGACTCTGCCCTCCCTCCTGCCATCCCCACACACCCCACTCCTCGCCCCCACTCTCCCTCTTTTTTCCCCCCACCCGAAAGCAGAAAGCTGAACTGCCAACTCTTTCACATACTACCCACCAGATGAGGTGGGGCCTCTCTCCGGCAACCACTTAGCTCCAGAAATGATGTGAGGGTAGAAAAAGGCCACTCTGCTGGAAATTGTCACTCTTACACAAGCTGGCTCTATTCAGTCCCTGATCAAAGCACTGCCTTACAGAGAAAGTCGATTTGCACGCCCTGGGACAAAATAATCTAATTTACAAGCTCAGGCTATAGAACTTTCTTTAGGAAGGAAGGGGGAAAAAAAAATAACAAAAAGAAAAACCGCATAAACCACCCCCCCAACTTCCACCAGAAATATCATCTATGACTTCTTGCTGCTTAAGACAGCAGAAAGAGGAATTTTAGCATATTAATCTCAAGACAAGATAAGTTTATACTTGTCTGTGTAAACAGTTTATTCACTGCAGGAATCGAGAGGCTGCAAGTCAAATGAATTAGCAAGTCAGCGAGTTAATTTTGAAGAGCAGGGCAGCACCGTGCATCGGATCCCCTCAAAGCCAGGCATGGATCTGCTGCCAATTCTCACTTTTGGAAGATCCTGCTTGCCCCCAGCTCACAGACAGACACCCAGCTCTCACAGCGATGAGCACGAGGCCAAGCCCTGCTCGGCACTGCGGGAGTGTCAGGGTGGTGGCCAGAGCCAAGGTTCCCACTAGACCCAACTGGGACATCTCCAATTGGGATTTAACCACCAGGACAAATTCAGTGCCCCTGAAAACTCCTAATTAGCAGCTGGTTTCAGGAAGGACCCAGACGTGACCGTGCCCAAGCAGGATTTTGGAACGATGCTGGGAGCACGTGGCTCCTGCCCAACACCTGGCAGCACCCTGGGATGGAAATGCTCTCCTCCCCTGCTCCCTTCCCTCCACCTATGCCTGTGCCCAGCCCATTTCCCACGGCCCACCCAGACCCTGCAGCTCCCTCCTGCACTCACCGGAAAATGAGGTAGAGAAACTTGACCGTTGGCCTTGACGCTCCGGTGCATTTCCCGCTGGAGCTGCTTCTTGCTCCCAATTCTGTACGGGGGGATCCCATCTCTGCACATGGAAGAGAGGCCACCGTCAGCTGGGGCTGTCCCCATGCTCTGAGACACTTCTCCATCCCCTCTGGAACCACCCAGGCAGCCGCAGGCCCTCGCTCCCAGAGGTGCTGAGCCCTCTGGATGTCACCTGAAGCCTCAAATATCCGGCGGTGTGGGAAGAGCCTGTGTCACCAAAGGATGCACATGGATGTGCAGTAATTAAGCAAAAGCTGAAGGCAACTCTACATGGGCAGACGTCCAAAGATCCCATCAGCTTCGCTTCCAAGGCCCTTCCAACACCACCTTTCTGCTTCTGACCTTTAATTTTCAGTTCTTCCCCATCCAATTACCCTCTCCAGGACCACAGACCTCCTCAAGCTCTGGAACACCCCATGAACTGCTGGCACAGTGGAAATGAGGAGGAGGCTGAGGCTGGATGGCCATCCAGAGGCTGCTCCCCATCTCTAGTCCTGTTTAAGATCCAGGATGTTTCCCCTGCCCTGAGGCTGGCCGGTACAGGACACCTCGAGGCGTGAACATGACCTGTTCTCTGCACAGGACACTGCTGCCCACAGCCACCCCAGCTCCTGCCAGGAAGCCACAAGGAGAGACCAGGCCAGGAGCTGAAGGCTCTCCAGTGGGAACAGCCCCCTGCACATCCCACTCCAGGCACCACAAGGCATCTTCACCCAGCCACGCAAAGAATTACCCCAGTGAGGATGAAAGGGCCTTCCACAGACAGTGGGGCCAGCAGGAAGAGCATGCCTGGAGATCCTGAATGTCTAATTCCACCACTTCCCTCAGACTGCCTGAAGAACCTTGATCTCGGCTGCCATCCCTTTCATCCACCTGCCCCCACACCTGACTCATCTCCTGAGAGGAGAAAATAACTCCAGCCCAAGGAGGAGCAGACAGAGCTGGCCCCACGCTGCTGCCAGAGGAGCCAGCGTGGCACAGTGTCCCTGAGTGTCCCCTCCCATGGCCATGGGGATGGTGGGCACACAGCAGAACACCAGAGACATTGTGTCCCTTCCCTGGGGGAGGATGATCAGATGCCACCACTCAAAGCTTGAAGCAGGCGATGGCAGAGCTTTGTGAAGATCTTGGCTAAAGCCTTCAGTTGCCATTAATGAGCAAGACAAAGCTGCAAAGCCTGGAGTGAAGGATCAGAACAATCCCATCTTAACAAACTTGGGAAAGTCTTTGTAATAAAAACGAGCATGCTGGGAGGCCCTTGATGCCACAGGATGAGCACCTCCTCTAGACACAGTTTTGGAGCACATGTGACATGGAACATGAAAGGAGCTGATTGTCCCCATGTCCCCACTGCACAACACGGGGCTCCAGGAGCTTTCTGGAGGAGCAGCCCAGCACACAACAGCCAACACAGCCACTGGTGGCCACCAAGCACATCCCCACTGCTCCCTGAAGCATTTCTGCTCCACAAACCCGTGGAGAAATGGGGTGTGGGGCACATGACATGTCTTAGTTTTGGGGGAGGATGGGGGAAAAGCAAATCTAAGGTGAAGACAAAACCACCTGTACCTTCAGAGATGTGTTTGTTAACTGGGGCTTCCCAAGGCAGGGGTCTCTTAGGGAAGACCTTCAGCACAGGGAATGCCCAGTAAAACAGGCATTTCAAAGGTAAGTGAAAATGAACCCATGGGATGAATCCCATTAATGCACTCCGTGGAAAAGGAGGTGTCCTCTGTCCATGGAGCCCAAGAGGCCAGCTGGGGAGGAGCAGGGAAGCAGCTGAGGGGTTGTTTGTCCACCACAAGGACAGGGACCAGGGAGCCCTGCAGCCTTCCTGCATTCCCCACCTCCCTCCAGCCCTGCAAGCACGAGATGCTGTTCCCAGCCCCTCTGCTGTGGCACACATCTCCTTGTGGGGTATGCCCAAGTTCCCAGCTCCACAGGGATCATCTCTGCCCAAAGGGACAGTCCTGGGACAGGTTCCTCACTTTTATGATTTGCCCTCATTCAGGTTGATACAAGAACTGCTCCTTCCCCCTAAAATCCCTCTGGTTACAGCAGAGAGCCCCACATCAAACCTCCAGCTCCCTGCTTCCACAGCCCTGCCTCCTCAGAAGAGTTCTGCAACTTGTAACAACATGCAGAATTAAAAAAAAAAAAAAAAGAATTAAAAAAACCCAGAGGTATTTCTGTGGGATGGGAAGGGAAAGTCAGCCTGGGGAATGGGAAGGGACCTTAGCAGCCACTTTGCTGAGTGCTGTCTAAACCCTTTCCTAGAAAACAGGGGGGAAAGGGACAAGGCCAGGGTTGAAGGGGTGACCAAGGAGTGACCCCTGACTGCAGGAGGGACAGATGGATGGAGCTGGAGCCACCTGCAAGAGATACGGGGGGCAGGGGGAACCCTGATGCAGCAGCAGAGCCCCCAGGCAGGGGGGATTTCACCTTTGAAATGGAAGAGCTGAACTTGGCCTGAGGTTTTGGGGCAGGCCAAGGGTTAACCCCAGCTCTCCAGGTGCCACCTCTCCCCCTGCTCCAACAGCCAACATTTGCACTCACTTTCCTGGCTACTAAAAGCTGCCGGCTGAAGAGCTGCAGAGTTGAGGCACTAAATAGTAGAGTTTAATTATAAACATTTCAGCTAACCAGGCTGGGGCTAAGCCAATCTGTTTCTGGGGGGAAACACTAGTTTGAAGTCTTCTACCCAGTCAGCTGCCATTTAAGCTGAGCCAATTATCTTAGCCTTTTGACTCAGATGTGCCTGACCTAACCTGAATGTAGTTTTACTGCTGCTTTGAAATATCAGACTCATGCGCATATGCATTCACTCCCATCTTCATTTGGCAACGGCTCTGAAACAAGCCTCTGATCTTGCCAACATCAAAAGCCTGGTTTGTAAGATAAGGTAATATTTGAAGTTTGCTCAGCAGCATTCCCCTGTGTCCAAAGTAAATCCATAAATAAGATATAAGCAAATAAAAAAAAAAAATCCCC